TGTGTTATTGTTTGTATCCCCCTCCCCATGAGTTGTGAGCCGCCCTGAGTCCCCCCAGGGAAAAGGGCGGCCTATAAATAATTTTTTTTTAAAAAAATGAGAAGCTAAATGTCTTCAAGGAAAAGGGAAAAAAACCCAAGAAAGTCCAGTTGCCTCCTGAAAAAGCACCTTTGGGACAATCGTGACCTGGATGACTGAGAATCTCTACAGACTTTTAGCTATATAATTTGAAATGAACACCCTTTGAATGGTGTGGGAGTAGGAATGGATTTCCAGAGAAAAATTGCAGACTACAGAGACGGGAGCACTACTCAGGTGAGTCTGGGGACACAGATAAACCTCAAAGTGCTTCAAGGACCCCCTAAAGGATGCAAATGACCAGCTGTCTGCAAGGAATATAAATCCTTCCATTCCCCACTATTCTGTCAGAGCTGAAGAAGCTTCTTGGAAAGCTTTTTCTTCAAAGAAAAAAACAAGAAAGTCCAGTTGCCTCCTGAAAAAGTACCTTTGGGAGAACGATCCAAAGAAATCCATGAAGCTCAGAGAGTGCCAAGGACCCTAAAGATGATACAAACTCTGTATCCAAACTGGCTGCAGACACAGTTTATATTCTGAAACATCCCTGGTTGCCTTTTTTTTGCTGATCTTTATAAAGAATAAAGAAAGAATATGTTCTTTTTGGTACACTGATTTATGAGTAGCCTTTGATAACATCAACTATGGCATTATTTAGGACTACTTGTGTAGGACAGATTTGGGGATACTAAATTACAGTGATTCAAGTTGTCCCTTGGAATCAGTTTGAGAAAGATGTTTGATGCCTTGGCTTTTTGTTTATTGCGCTTTGTGAGCATTTGTTTTACTCTCTATTTTTATCTATATAAAAATATCAGGGATTAAGGATGCGTTCTCATTAATCTTCATATGTAGCATGGAAGACTATTCCTCTTTTACTTCCACAACCAAAGAGAAAAACCTTGTTGGGATTTTGAAAAGCTGCTTGAAAGTATCAACAGAGATATAAACCAGGTAAGATAGGGGAGACAGAGGCATTTGGTACAAATCACAATGACACCACAATGTGCATTCCCCCTCACCTCCTGACACTGAGATGAACTGGAATGCTTTATCAATTTCTAGAATGCATTTTATAATTGATGTTAAATATTGTAAACTATTCTGAATGGTATATAAGCACTAGAAGGAAGATATAAATATTTATATAATGCATAAATCCGTGTTCGTCCCTGTCATGGCGAAAGAAGAAATGCAAATTGTAGTTACAAATGATTGTATTTATGTCTGCTAGTGACATTTTTCTGTCAGTATATGATAACAAGAGGAATGACTTCATGGAATTTTTTTTCCTGCTTAAACAGATAAATGTTTCTATTTGTAGGGGTAAAATCATACATTATAGAGGAGTGTCCATCCAAATGATTTGTTTTACTGGCTGTATGTATGAGTCATAATCTTATCTTTGGGCAAAAAAGAGAAAGAAAAATCCCTCAAAAACATTGACAGAATCACTGAGCCTCAGTTTTTTTGAAGTCCTAACTTTCCATTTTGTCAAGAGTTTAATTAATATGGCAAAATGACATTAATCTTGATGTACACTGAAGCAGCAGGAGTGAGTGTTGCTTTCCAAAATAATTAAACTGTATAGCAAGAAATGAAAGAAGGGAATCTAACTTGAGTAATTATATAAATCCCTCCCTGAATTCTCAGTAAATAAATTAAGGGCTCTTTGATGAAGTTGTTTTAGGCATAACTTGACAGGAAAGGTGACTAAATTCTGTCTATCCTTCAAGAACTGGGAAGAAAGATTTTTTTTTTTTTTAAAAAAAAAGCTGGGGAAACAAAATTGTATGGCTCCGTCTTTCAGCTCACTCATTTTGATTCCTCCAGTCTACAATTATAGAAAGACTTCTCTTCAGTATTCTATTCATTCTCCACATTCAAAGATTAGTAAAAGATGTGATGTTTGGAAACTCCTAAAGGCAGACTTTTTGCAACATACTACAGAGAGATTGAATGTTTTAATTACAAGTTGCTCTCTGCCATTTATTTCTTCACTTATGGATGGGTGACATTGGTACAGTTATAGCCTGAAGAAGTATAAACGAGGAGGAAGGAAGCAAGGTTGACAATGGCAAAAGTTGTCAGTTTTTTCCTTGGATTTTAAAGAAATGGGTTGCTTCATGTTTGCAATTCTGTATGGAATATTTCTGTTCAATTTGAAGAGCTTTAGGAAAAGTTAGCTGGAAGTGTATTGTCTTCTAGAATTCTGTATGCTTTGAAAATGATTTGGAGGAACACCTTTAGAACTTGCATTGGCCCTGCACTTCTTTGTAATTCATTAAAGCAGACCTTTTCCCAAAGGTTTCTGCATAAGCTTAAAAAGATCTACTTGTTTAACTCATTATATTTAATACGATTCCTAAAGCAGGCACATATTTATTCAAACTCTCTGGAAAACTGAAAAAGGATGAGGTGCTTTAGAAAAGACAGATTTTTTTTTTGCTTGCCTAAGACTGGAAGCACTTCAAGCTCATCTTTAAAGCACGCGTTGTGCTATGATTTTCATCCTGTGGGTTTATATTCCACAAATAAGAATACAAATTATGAGGATGTGAAATACTGTAAAGATCCATCACATACCAACAGTATCCTTGTTGTTTCATCTAGATTCTACACAGGGGTGTCAAACTGGCAGCTCGCGGGCATGGCGCCCATCCCAGCTCCGTGAATGGGGAAAAGGTCACAAAACGTCACGTGATGGTAACATGGTATGGCAAGTTTGACACCTGTGATCTAGAAGGACTAGATCAAATATCTTTAAGCAGGAGTAGAGCATCTGTAGCTTTTCAGATATTGCTGAACAACTTTACCCATGGTGGCACAGAATTTTGTAACATTTGAAAGCCAGATGTTTCTCTGAATTTTTTTTTACAGAAGCATAGATTGTAGTTGAACAGTAGGAGAAACATTTTGATAGTAAATAAGAATTCAATAATAATTGAATTAAGGTAGGAACTTGTGTATTTGCAGATGCTCTTGCTTTCTAATTCCTGCATCAAGTAAGAAGTTGGTCACAATGCCCTAGAAGTTTTCCTTTCAATTCTACAACAACTTTTCTTCAGTTCCAGACAAAATATACAAAATATATATGAAAAAATATAACTGTTTTCAAATCCCAAGTTGTACCTTTCTAATTTGGAACCTATATAAAACAACAGTCACTGTATTTCTACAGGGCTTAAAACAGAAAATCAATTGTCTTTTCTAATTTAGAAGTGGTCATTGATTCTGGACTGTGAGTTCCAGTTTTGATGGGAAAATGTAAGTAATCATTTGCTTAAACAATAGTTACCCCATCCTGGTGGAATATTTTGCTCCCCAAAATCCATATAATGCCCCCCCCCCACATACACTTTTATCTTTTCAAAGAACAATAAAGATCTGGTTTCTGGAGGTATGGATTATTTTAATCCCCATATGTAGTTTTGTCAATCCTTGTGCTTCTACTAGCTTCTACTATCATTACTAATAATGTAGTATTGAGATTGGTAAGTAATACTGGGCTATATACAAACTGTTGATGAAGTACAAATAGTTTCTTATATTTTTTCTGATATAATGAAATGATTATGATGTTGCAGCAAATATGTTGACAAATCTAGTTCAGTTCTGCTGAAATGAAAGAAAAGTACCTGGTCTAGATGCTTTTGTGCAGATTCGTCCATTCCCATATAGACCTATTGGACATCGGCCACAGAAGTATCCAGTCTTTGGAGGTTTGCGGTCAACACACAGCACTCCAGGAAAACAAGGTCTATTAGCACAGTTAGTAAGAGATGGTAGGACTCCTGCATGACCTGAAGGAACATCCAAGACCATTGCTAATTTAAAAATAAACCAGGGAGCAAATATCAGCACTGGCTAAGGCTTGATCCTTTTATTCTTTCAAAACATAATTAATGCTAGAGGCTCCCAAATTGTGTGCCTAGTATAATAAAATCCTAAAGGCACCACATATCAACCAGCTGTTTCTCATTAAGGCAAGATTTATTAGCCCTCTAATTACATGTTGTAAAGTTTAGAATTAGAAAGTGTGTGGCATTTATCAAGGGTGAAATTGACTTTTCCTCACTGCTAGGAACACCTAGGTGGAGAAGTTTCATTAGTCAGGGGGCAAACTACACATTTCTCTGCAGGATTACATAATGAATTCCTAGAGGCCTTCTCTCCTTTGTGAGGCATCTAGTGGAAGGGTTGTTTTGTAATAGAGAAGAAAGAGTGGAGGAAGTCATGCTAAGTCAACCACTTCTTGCCTGAAGTTTTCTCCTTTAAACTCCCTCACTCTGCTTTTAACTTATTTACAATATAGCTGTAGAATTATCCAGAAGGTGAAGATATTGTGAAACAGGCCATACAATGCATTATCCATACCCATATCATGATTTGTTTACCTTTTACTTTATATGTTGTTTCAACCCTGACTTTATGATATATATAAGAGATATGGTTTAGTGTCATTAAAACTGTCCAAGTATGATTTATTAACTAAATCAAAGTTAACCAAACCATGACCTAGTAATTGTGTGAATCCAACTGGTGATTCAGAGGAAAAAGACAGGATAAAATCATATTTATTTTCCCTTTCTTCCCATTTCAGTGACTAATTTACAAAAAAGAAGAATTCATTTGGGGCTTTATTATTTGCAGGTAATTACTTGGTTCATACACTGTGTTCAATTATGAATACACCCACAACTAACCAGATTCATATATCATCTTAAACCATAAAAAAGCTTACAAACTGAATTATTGGGCTCATACAATAAAAAAGCAAGTAAGATGCTTAGTGCAATGTGCAAAACCAGCCAGCATAAGATATACATGGTCTCACATGCAATTGTTTCCAAAGAGATGACTTTCTGGGAAGTAAGAATGGGAAAATGATGTTGTTTTGCTTGAAGGTTTTCTAAAGATTTCATAGTTAGAAACAAGATACTGCACTATGTCTTTGTTTAAAAGAGTGCTATTTATGACTCCAAAGAAGAAAGGAAAGGTATGACTTATGACTCCAAATCAAAGGCTAAGGCAAAAATCCAAACCATTGACAATAGGTTTGGTTTGTTTGATTTGTTTGGTTTATTAGATTTATATGCCACCCTTCTCCCAAGGACTCAGGGTGGTGTACAACATTAAAAGAAACACATAATACAAAAGTTAAAAAAAATAGAATATCCCAAACAAACCCAATTAGAATTGACAATAACATTTTTTTTAAAAAAAAT